TGTCGCGATAAAAATGAGTGATACTTTACCAACTTGATCGGCACAATGAGCAACACGCCGGAAAAAAACACATTGGATCTAGAGTCCAGACTCTTAAAAACATCGACAAGAAAAATTTCTCTTGATTCAATCAGTATCTAGCTTAAATCAAAAACCAAGCCTCTTAATTTAAGTGGATTTCGTTTTGATTCAAGCAAAAATCCTATTGAATCGAGAGTTTTTTTTCTTGTCAATGTTTTCAAGAGTCTGGACTAGATCTAATGTGTTTTATTTTCCAGTGCACTGCCATTAATTTACGAGCATCATTAATTAAGTATTAAAGTAAACAAGCAAAACGCCCGGAGTCAGAATCAAATGCGACGAACGCCATACAAATTTCATTTCAACTCCTGGATGCAACTATTTGGGCTCCATGGATATGCGTGTTGCATACGCACGGAGTTGAAGGCGTTTTGACTGTCGAGACTCTCACCACTACACCCGCGGCGGGCTTCACTGCGAGGATCCAAAATGGCGGTGCGCTTTAAATTCCTCGCTTACAATTTCCTTACAAAGATATCTTGTGTGCACAAATAACTGGTAACAGGCGCAGGGTGTGAGTATCTTTGCGCTTCAGTTTTGATATGACGATGTGCTAAGCATGATTTGTAAAGGAGCTACCGTGTTTTAAGTACAGATGAAGAATTGAAGGCACTCCGTCATTTGAAATCCTCGAAATAATATCCACCTCACAATGATACGAGCCTCTCAGAGAGGCTGTACATGAAATTTTTTACCTAAACTGCAAATTTTGATGTTGCCTTCTTCACATTATACATCCTATTAGGTTCTTCTTGAAGGGAATTTTACGCGAAAATCAATGAAACTATGTCTAAAACCGCAGCAGGTGCGTTTCATATTAGCATCGAAATGAGCTTTCAATGTTTCCACATTTTGTCCGACTCATCTCATTGACTAGCTCCATTGAGTGCCTCTGGCAAGGCGGTTAGTGTCTGCTAAACGCCTTCACTCCCATGTATATGCAACACGGACATCCGTGGAGCCCGAATGGTTGCATCCAGGCGTTATAATGAAATTCGACTTGTACTTACTCATTGATTGCAACACTTACTGAATGAGGCTTCGATTGTTACTCTTACACCTGAGCTTAATTCCAGCGTTGCTGAATGTGCCAATTAAGTAAACCATTACTGACGTTTATCGCGACTTTAACAAATTTCCGAGAGTATCACAACGTTCCGGGCCCACGAAATTGCAAAAAAAAAAAATAGGTATCTGGGCATAATATGTGGAAATTCCTTAAGCTAACTTCAATGAGTTGTCTTCCGTTTGGATTTTGTTTCTTTCTTTCTTTTCATTTTGCCCCTTTGTGAAAATTAATTTTGGCGTTTAAGCGCAAAATTTTCGAAGAACAACCTGATGAATCGCACGGAATTTTGAACAAAATCGACGACTATTCGCCTTTGAGAAAAATGAATTGCGACGGGAAATCTGCATGTGATATCAAAAGCCTAAATATACGTTTATACTTTCCTAGGTACAATGGTGGAATTATAACACAATAATAAGTCTGGTAAATATATTAGTGAACATTACATTATGCTCTGCTCTCTCGCTCCTGAAATGCGGGCTTCGTCTATCTGAATTTATCGCGGCGATAAAGTCCTATCAAATCCTCGAAAGCAAAGGGTATTTAAAATGTAGGTATCCTCGTCAAATGATTGATAAAAATTTTAAAAAAAGTGCTCACAACTCCCAAGTCGATCAAAGCAAGGTTCATGCGCGTCAAAGCTGCAGCTGAGGATCGAAACTGCGCCCGCGCTCCGCTCCAGTTCTGCAGTGCTTAGGAAAAACACCGTATAAACCTTCAGGCGTTGCCAAATTTCCTTTGATGAAACACGAATTACCTGATAAACTCATAAATATCTTCCTTCCAATTTTTCAGATAATTTTGCTCAAAATTTCACCTGAGGTCCCTGCAAATTTCCAGGAAAAATATCCATGACTTTCCTCAAAAATAAACATTTAATTGAAGGAAATTGGGCAACTCTCGAATGTTCATACGATGTTCTTCCCTAGCAAAGCAGTGCAGTGCTTAGGAAAAACACCGCATGAACCTTGTCGTTGCCAAATTTTCTTTGATAAACTACATATTTACTAAGAAATCTGAAAATATTTTTCTTCCAATTTTTCAGACAATCTTGTTTGCGAGCGATTCAGTCTAAAATTTCTGAAAATTTCAAGGGAAAATAATTTTGCATAGCTCCCTTCAAAAACAAAGATTTTAATCGGGGAAATTCGGCAACTCCCGAATATTCGTACGGCCTTTTCTCTTAGCTCAACAGAGTTGGCCCTCGCTGTCCAGCTGGGATTCGTTGAATGGTTATGGACAGCTCAGGGGGCATTGCGATTCTTGGTCACGGCCTCACAGTTCAACAAGCATTCAAATGAGTCCGATCAATCGAAATCAATGAACCGTTTATTGATACATTATCGAACGTACCTTGTCTTGCTTGGCACTTTTCAAAACTGACAACACCTCGGGGAGCCATGCTGCCGCCACTCAAGTGAAGCATTCTGAATTTCAAGTTTTTGCCAAGGATTTTTTGAGATATTAAGTAAGTAACGGTCGGCATTTGTACTTCCCCGTGGACTCGATCAATTTTTGTTTTTGTTTTTGTTTTTTTTTGTCGATTCCCGCATTATTATTTAAAACAAAAATATCAACTACGAGTTCTCCGTCGAATGATTTGAACAGAGTTATTCCGTTGCAAAACAGATTTCGTTTAATTTTTTTGTTAATCATTTTTTTGCTAGCCTCCCCCCCCCCCCAACGCTGCTTCATTTCATGATAAATAAACTGAGTGGGCAGGAGAAGTCGTTTTTTGAATGAGCTAAATGTCGTGGATCACTCGTCTTCTTGGGGAGCATTCAACGTAAAATTTAAAAAAAAAGAGAGAAAAAAGAAACGCTTGTAAAATAAGTAAAGTAGACTCAAAACATTTGCACCGTGTTGTATTATTTAAAAGCAAAATGCGTAAAAAGTAAATTTCACTCTCCCAATTTTAACTCACCTTTTTACTCACGAGGTTTTTACGTACGTCAAATTCCGGAACTCCGATTATTCACGACTTTTCTACGAGTTTTTTTTTTAGTAGGCACAACTTTAAAATTTGTAATATTACCACTCTTATACTTTTTACTAGTTACTTTACAAGCTGTCTTACTAAGATCGTTGAAAGAGAAACTTCCGAAACTTCACACTGACGTGTACCGAGCACCTGAGAATTTATTCGTTCAGCTTGTTTGTGTTTCCCTTTTGTATGAAAAATATCTGGAAGATAGTTCAGACACCTTAGATAAAATAATAAGACTCTACATTCGCCGTCCATGGCGTACTTCTCAGCTGCCATAATACAGTTTTCCGTTGCAATCGCTGAGAGCTGGCGAGGGTTTCGGTGTCGCGGCAGCGGAGAGAAACTACGATACAAGCAACGAGCTCCGACCGGCGGATTCGCCTTCAATTGGCAGGATAGGCAAAAGGGGCTCCTAAGAGATTGAATAGTGGTATCCCGCTCCTTGTTTCTGACATACTAACGCAATGACCGTTCATGCCCACATTATTGCTTACTGCAGAGAAGCTCTTTGCATTGCTCACTCTTCAGTCGCTCGAATTTCATTGGAACTAATTAAAATTAAAATTGTTGACAAAGAGAAAGCTTCTCTGTCTTTTCGCCATTTTAATCTGTCAGTAAGCAGTCCTGATTCGAAATTGTTATTTTTTAGTTTTCTTGAGTCTGACCCTGTTAAATAGTGGAGTGCAAACATTAATCGTTCTCCTTTGAAAAAATTGGGCATTAGATCAAGAGAATTCCACTCCCAGAACTCTGCATCATATCTGACCTCTGTCCATATTCCTGCAATTAACAAAATTGACCATAAAAGTTTTTATTTTTTTTTACCCTTGACGCCGTGCGGCCATGCATTACCTAGCTAATTTTCACGCCACAGGCGATTTGGATTACATTTGGAACCACTTTTTCTGGGTCATTTTAGAAACAACATATAAGCCATTAGTTTTCTTATGTAGATATGAGCTTTTATGAAAGAGCCAGAGATAGTGGTTCCTTATTGCAAAATTTAATCCATTTGTCATAGCTTCTGGTGTGGTTGAACAAGCGTGCGATTAAGTCTAAAATCTCGGCAGCTTTTGAATTTTTAGCTAAACAAGCCTGTGCGCATGGGCTTAAAGGATCTCTTTCAACCTAGGTATTTGGTATTCATTTGTGATATTAGGCAAAAACTTTCAGAATCCTTGCACTGCTTCCCTCATTGAACACAATAATTTGAGAAACTGGAGATAAGTCCCATTGAGGTGCTAGCACAAGAAGGATCATCTGTGTATTTTGTGGAATTGCATCACATATTGCTAAATTAATGATAGAGGACGAGTCTTCAGTTCCAGCAGAGATTCATCTGGCTACAAAAAAGTCATGGTTGCCTAGGAAAATATCAATTTTGATATGCCCAAATAAGGCTATACTTATCTAAAAAAAATTCAGTCTCTTTCTTCTCTGCTTGTTACATTTCCCCCATAATTAGTCTTTCCAACAAGTTTTGAGGGAGAATGGAAGTTCCACTGAATTTATTTTTTTTTTATTATTTTTTGCATACCTATTCTTGCATATGTGTGCTCAACTGACAGCAATAAATTGTGCAAATTTTGATTTTGCAGCTGTAATTACAATTTTAAAAAGGACTTTGTAATGCCGAAATTCATGCTGAGAAGTGACACTGGGAGATAGCTCAAAATTATAGCGTTACTGATGCGGTCTAAACAGCGTTCACAATTTTGGTCTTAGGATTTTAATATGCATACAGTAGGATGAGCACACTAAAAGGGCCCCTGAGATAATCCGACCCTGATTATCATACAGGAGTTCCATAAATTTTTTAAGTTGACAACTGAGAGGATTCAAGGAGTAATTTACACAAAGAACAAGATTATTTATTCTGAATTTTATTTGACAAAATCGGACTTACAAAAATATTTTACTTTGATTGGAGAATAGAAATGTATACAGTAAATTGAGGGAAGTTTCAAGAAAAGCAAATTATTTGCTGCTGTTAAGTTCTCGCTGACGTTATGAAAACAAGTGAAAAAAAGAAGGAATCAGCTCAGATAAAAATACATTAACCTATAATACTTCAATGGATTACTTAAGCCTAATTGAAAACATAGCAGTTACATAGGCATCATGAGTAAAGGCTGTTGCTATTTCAATACTCATTTGCTTCACTTTGAGAACTCAAAACACAAACTACAACTGCCAAGTGAAGCTTCTTCCACCATAAGAATAATAAAAATTGATCAATTAGGTATACCTGTGAGTAAATATTGCCATTAACTTAATGGATAGAAATTTTCATCATGATCAAATGAGAACACTCTGCTTCTAGTTGGAATACATTTTGCAATTAGAAAGTACAATTTCTGACTCATTTAAGAAAAAACACATGTGCCATTAGTTTTTCTATGTATATAGGTGTTTTAATGAGTGAACCAGAAATCATTGTTCCTTATTACAAAATACAGTCCCACTCGAACCACTTGGTAATAACAACTCAACTGGGCCTGAATGTACTAACTCTTATCATAGTTTAATCTGATTGCCTTGTGCTGAGAAGGTAGTGACTTTGATATCCAACTGAGAAAAATTGGAGGATTCAATCATCCTTACAATGCTAATGCACTAAAAATCAATATGGGTAGGACGTCAGGTCTTGCCACAAACACGAGAAGATTTAAAATGAATAAAGGAAAATGTAAACAAGTGTTTTAAATACCTACATATAAATAAATAATGAGAAGATCATTTAGCAATAAAATAAATTACTAGAATAATATTTTGAGATAAAACAAGTACCAGTTATCACAGAGGCAGGTTTTTCCCTTTCATGATTCTTGTGCTGAAAAGTATTTAATAGTACGATAACCTTAAAAACTACAAATGCATTCGTAATGCAAATCTAGCATTTATAGAAGAGTGAGCATCCTTTAACTTGACCTTACAATAATTTTCATATAAAATTTTTGCTTTTACAAAAAAAGAAACAGCCTGAAGAATAATTCAAAAGGCATCTCATAAGAATTACAGACAAATCAATTAAAAAATATTACTAAATGTCACTGGAAAAAGAAGAGAATGACGGGTCTTACGAAATTATGTAAGAAAAGAGGATTACTCTCCAACCACAGGGTATAGTTTGAAAACTTAGAAGTACACATTAGTTTGGCTATTGCATTACATTTCAGCCTGGCATTCATAAATTTGACGACAGTAATATTGATAGTAAGACACTCACACAACGCATCTCATTTGCAGTGTTTTAAAATCTCTGCTCCTATTTAATTTTTTTAAAGGAGAAACAAATCAACATGATTTCTTCAAGTTTTCAAAGAATTTTCTCCGCACAGAGAGAGGAAAAATCAAGGTAGCTTTTAAGCGTTGACATTGAGTAGCTTTCTATTTGACAAATAAAGTACGCCAGGAAGTCTGCACAGTCTCAAACCAAGATACATGGTTTGAAAGTTTCATGGCCAACATGTACCTTCAAATAAAATTGGGTTTGATTGATTTGATTTAAAGATTTAAAACGTTGCTCAGAGTATACATTCAAAGCATTTCATAGTCTCATTTACCAGTGCCCTGATTAAGAAAAAAACCTCATACCACATTCTTCTACAATCTTACATAGATAGCTATTTATTTAAATTAAATTCCATTTTTCATGGAATCCAAATATTCGTTGTACTTCTTTTCTTGAGCTTGCTGTAATTTTTGCAACTTTTTCCTCAAACCCTTGCTGATTTCTTTTCCTTCCTGATCATGAGTTGGTAGACCCTGAAAAATTCACAAAGAAAGAAGGCTATTAAAGGTGAACCCTTGAGGAATTTATTCGTTAACTTTCAATGGAAATTTATTAATGATCACATCACGAATTACAATAATGTTTATCCTCAGATGCAATGCGGAACTTACATGATATTTACTATCAGTCAAAAAAGTATTGAGTAACAAATTCATTTCAACTTTAACATCTCCTTATTAGTATTTAGAGGAGGTTGGTGGGGGATTAACTATTTTTGAAATGCTCTGATAGGCCAAATCTAATAATTTAAGGCTTGTTGAGGAGTTGAGGGTTTCAAGAAAAATTAAAATGATTTCAACTGATTGTATCTATCTATGATAATTTCGGAGAATGAATTCCCTAGGTTTACTGATCAATCCTCTTCATATTAAAAATTGAGATGAGACTTAAATTTACCTTTCTCACAGGATTATTTAGTTCATCATCTGAGGAGACTAATATCAAAATGTGTTACATACATTTCTCTGCTTTCAGAATCGGTTTTATTTTCAACAGTATTTCTCCATTTTCCCTACTTACCTAGGATATTTGCTGATAATTTGTAGGTGAACCAAGAATTTTATTGAAATAGACAGACTAACAACGGATCTTTATGAAAGAGAAAAATAATCGAATTGCATAATATTTAAAGAAGACGTAGAGTTAGGGAATAGGTTTTGATACATCCACTGAGATGGAAGTACATTAATAACATAATGACAAGATTATTTAACCAGGAGTGGGATGAATTGTGTATACTTACAGTTTCATCAAACTGGGAATACTTGTCAGTCTCACTTTTAAAAAGTTCACTGGGTGGGATTTTTCTTTGCGCATCTTTCAAAGCCTGGGCTGCTGCTAACTTTGCTTGTTTTTCAGCCTTTTCTGCGGCTCGTTTTGCCTCCTCAGCTTTCTTGGCTTCCTTTTCTTGTAATAGTGTTTCTTTATCCACTAGTTTCACAGCAGAGGGTCTCCCTGATGATATAAAGGGTAAAAATGTTGAATTAAATTAATGCAAGCAAAACAAGTTGAACTCAGTAAAACCTCGGTTTATCAGATTTCACTGAACTGACAAATCAATCCGTTAACTCACAGAGTCGATTTGACTAGCTTGAAGTCCTTGAGGGAACCAGAAGATCGATCAATCATGAAAAAATCATGGAATCCTTTAAATCGATCTGATAAATCGAGGTTTTACTGTGTCACTCAGTATCAGGGTTTAAACTCAAATTGTTGGCATTCAATGAGCTATGAACTATAGAATATAATAATAAAAAATAATTATTGTCTATAATTATATGACAGTAATAGCTTACAAGTATTTCCTTACTTTGGAAATTCCATGCTTCCACACTCACATTTGCTACTTCTAAACAATGCTGGCAGTCCATTTACACTTTAATAACTTTCTTGGAAAGAAATTTCTGCAGAAATTTGAGTCCTTGCAAGATGGGATTATGCACTTTTGGAGTGTGACAGAAGATCAGCGGTCTTCACTTTGCAGCATTGAAAGTAAATGAAGGAATCAAGATGGCAGATCACCTGCCACAGTCTAAACATGCATAAACTTATTTGGCGTTGACTATTGATCACATAAAGGCGCGGAAGCAAGGAGATCAAATTATTTAAATTATTTCTCCTCATGTGGAGAGATTCTTTTGTCAATCCTCTGACAAAAAACAAAAAAAGGGTTACTTTTGGACACCGTCATAGGGAGCTACATAGACAAATCAAAGCCCCTCGTTGAGTCCTCATTTGGCATAAAACATTAGCACCCTATAAGTATATTTCTACGGTTTAGCCTCCCCCAGAAAATGCAGATTTATCTGTTGACTTTAGCTGGGGACATGATAAGCTTCAATTGCAAATTAAAGCAGGTCCAACTGATTAGGTTGATCAAACAATAGTGACTGCGAAACCAAAGAGCTTCCAATCAGGGGGCTGTATGTAGGTAGATCTTTTTTGCTGAATGAGAGTTGGTGTAATAATTTACCTTTTTCATTATTTTGCAACTTCTTTTAGAACTAGAAAAAAAAAATGAATATTGCAAAATCCACCAAAAATCTAAAAAAAAACGCCTTGAACTGTCCTGCCGTGATAGGGAAGAGAGCAGCGAGTGCATGCTGGGATGAACCTTGAGACACAAAAAAGCTTGTGCTAACCATGGCTCAAACAGAAATGCACTTACTGCTCTCTTCGCTATCACGGCAGTGTCTAGAGTCACACAAATGTAGAACCTCAGGATTTGATCCAATACAATTTATAGGTGGATCCCATTCCCAGAGACCTGTCCCGGAACTAATTATTAGTCACTGAAAAGAGTGGAACTAGCAACATCAGGATTTTTTAAAAAGAGGCTATCTATTGAAAGGATGATTCAGTTGTATGGAGGCTAGGTTTGGGGCTTAACCCCTGGCGCAAATTGGGAACTGTGCGTTATGTAGCTAAAACAGTAACTTTAGGCAGTTATAACATACTTTCAAGATGGAGAAATGGTGCTAGGTTCACCTCATTTCAAGGGGGAAAACAAAGCCAAGAAATTCAAACAAATTTTCAATTAGAGTCAACAAATTTTTTTGCTCTAATGAGTACCAGTACAAGACTGAGGGTGTTCTTTAAGACTTTCTCCACTTATCACATACAGTCCGGACCATTTTTGGTATTTTTTCTCAAACATACTTTCACAGATGTATGTAACATATTGACCGGAGTATTGTAGATACATAAATTGTAAGGTGTACTAAATGATGTAGGTAAAAAAAGGGAATTTAGCAAAATGAACCTGGCTAGAGAAGAGTTCTGAAGACGTGGGTGACTTTGGGGTCCGATAAAACCTTGCGTACTTCTCGTTTTGCCTCACTTTCACATCATTTTCAGCTCCAAACCAATTGCAAATGCATCCCTATCTGATATATGTCAATTTCATTTGGTTGATATGTTACTTTTCTCAAATACTGCAGGTAAGTCTTTTTCCAAAACTCCCAAGGCAAATAGTTCACTACTGCTTGGTAAAATCTAATTAGCGATTCAATTTTAAAAAATGCAGCTGCCAGTGGCAAGAGGTAAAATGAAGTAGCTTCCTGGCTGTTAGTGACCTACCTTCAATATCCTCCAAGCGAACTCCTACATTAGGTAAAATATCGTCTCTGAGTTTATCACACAACTGCAAAATTTCACTGGCTTTTAAGTGTTTTCCAATGGTACGGACATCATCTCGAAACTGAGATAATATCATTAAGTATGGCATTGCAATTTCCTCAACCTAGAAATAATTAAAAGAACTCAATCACTTATGGAGAAAGGCATTATGACAAAAAAGTTTTTTGAATTTTTAAAATTTGTTCATCAAGATAATTATTATTTGCATTCCGGCAAAATAATGAACACTACGATTCGATCAAATATGCAGAACGATCATAATTAAATCAAGACTCAAAATTATTTTCATCTCCTGGGTGACACTTTAACACTGAGGTTCTCATTATACTGTAGCAAGTTTAAAGTATGGGCAAAAGCTGCAGGTAATTGCAGGGAATCGCAGTCTCCATTTCATTGAAAGAGAGAAAAACAATAGTGGAATATCAATAAACTGACCTTGTCGTCGCGGTGTCATAAAAAATAATTGGTTAAATCAGAGAAAAAGTATATTGTAATCTTAGGTCAATAACCTGATAACATATTTAAGAAGGTAGAATATGCCCTTGAAAAAACCTTCATTAGTCCCCAAAATGTCCACAAAAACATTTGTTTGGGTGCAAAAACATCCTTCCCCCCTTCCATAATAAATTAATTATGAACTGCCGTCTCTAAATGCATCTCTTAGGATGGTAACTATGTGTTTGTTAAAGTTTCTGTAGCTTATTTTATGAAGTCAAACTTGTGACAAGTTTTTCCAATGCACATGGGGTGACATTCTTGGATTTCAAAAATTCCTGACTTTCCCAGCATTCTGGACATACATTTCCTGAATTATCGATATTTTTCAGGATAATTTCTGATGAAAATTCTTGTCTTGAAAAATTTTAAGCACAAAGTCTTTTGAAATTGTAGGGATGGAATTTTTGGGCTGGACGAAACAATTTCTCAGTTCTGCAGCAAAATTCCCAGACTTTTCCAGGTCTTCCATGACTTTTCAAGAAATTATTACCCTGTCAAATTATAATGTCAGCGTGCTCACCATGTCAATCCATGTTGTGTTCGTGGTTGTTATAATTCTCGAATGATAGAAATTTATTGATCCTACTTCTACTTTATGAAAGATAAGACATAAGTAATGAGAGAGTGCGAGAAAAAAACAAAAAAAATAATACTTACGTTGGATGGATTACAGGTGCTGTTGCTTGCTAATGGAAAACCAATTTGGTTGTCAGAGGTAATGGTTCCAAAGATTTTCATCATTTTAGTAATATACAAAGCTATTTGGTGGAGGAGAGTGACATTTAATTTTGATCCACTGTCGCGGCAATAAATATTACAAGATGTTATGCATTCCCGCAAAGCATCTAAACTACTACGGGTATCAATATTATCTGAAACACCAAGGAAAGACATGGGCTTCAGTAAAGGACTGGAAAATTTTGAATTGTTTGAACTGAATGATGAGGAGGAAGGAATAAGATCAGTCAGTAAGAATTAGTAAAAAACAATACTGAAAAACTTTCTAGAGGTTTTCAGAAACCACTTTTTGACATTAACCCATTGACTTACAATGACGGCTCCCAGCCGTCATCGCAGCGCTGGGCCAGCTCTGAAATGACGGCTCAGAGCCGTCCTCTGATTGTTCGCGTTATTTCGGCAATTCTCCGCTAGACTGCGTTCTCATCAATGTTTATATGAGTAGTGTGGCCACCCTATGACTTATTGTGTACGGTAATTTCTTGTTTTGTTACGGTATTTTCATATTACTGTGCGTTTGCACATGAAATAACCTCAAAATTTTCTGATTTTCGCTGATCTTGCGATTTTTGCGATTTTGACAGCTATAAACCACATAAAAAAATCTATGTGTTCAAATTTTTCACCATTTTTCTCAAACATTGTATTGAGAATGCTTATTTTGTCAATTTTCACCCTTTGAGAAATAATTTCTGGATTATTTTGAAGTGTTCAAAGTTGCTGATTTTCGCCAAATTAAATCGTAATTCCTGGCCCGGCAGGGTCAAATTAAATCATAAGTCAATGGGTTAATACATAAAAGGGGAAATATCTCTTTAACCAATATCATACATCAAGGCACACAGTTTTATCCCTCAGATTTTACTGTGGGAATCTGAAAGTCAGCTTCCATGATGAGGTTTCCAGACAATATTCTGTGAAAACTAGGTTAAGTGCTGCTCTGAGAAACTGAGGAATCAAGAGTTTTGAGTGCCTAACCCAGAAACTTCCTCACTAGACAAAGTTGATGTCACTTGAACCAAAATTCATGGAATTATGAAAATTTCTTGAAGATTTTTTAAGATTACCTCTGGCATGGTGTTGTAAGAAACATTCAATATTGAAACTTCAGTAAATCGTGTGCCAAGAAGACACAAAATGGTTGAGAAGCGCTGCCCCTCCAACCAATAAGATCATTCACTTACCACATAAAGCTTTGTGAACGTTTTCTTTTGTTTGGACGAATTTTTTATATAAATCTAACTCACGCCCTGACCACTTTTCGTAGGAATCCGATAAGCTACTTTCTTTTGAGCTGCGAATTATATCTTTGATACTGAGGAAATATTCCTGAAATGATAGAGAGAATAAAATAAGGCACATTTTAAAGGCAATTGAACACAGTCCCTGGTGCGTTGGTGCGTAAACGTAATGGGAAACTTAACGTAACGGTAAACACATGAAACATGGTAAACGTATGAGAAATCTCAAGAAATCAGTGAAATTCAGAGGGTCAAGGGTCAAAATTTACTGACTTGAACTGATTAGCTGATGGAATTTTCTTGAATGCTGAAATATTTTGAACCTCAGGATTCCCACCAAAATAGGGACTGTAAGCTCAAAAGATCATCATGCTTGTGAAAGTGAGCAAAAAAGCAATTCATGAGGAAAAATTACAAAAAAAATTAACAAAGACTAATTGAAAGATTAAAACTTCCTATTCTTAAAACATACATGCTTCCCTCTTTTTACCCTCTTGGTAATTCAAATGCACACTTTATGGACCTCAGTGCGCTGCTTTCCGTTATCCAGGATACATAAAATCGATGATGAAGATCTCAAACCACATATCTTGTTTCCTGTGTTTAAAAATATCTGTTCCAATTTTGCTTTTTTAAAGTAGAACAATTCACCATGATTCCCTGAAATTTTTTCAGAATTTGCTTCAAGGTAGAGGAAAAATCGTGGAAGTTTTCAAGAATTGTTCTCCATTTAAAAAATAAAGTATGTCAGGAGGTCTGCAACGTCAAAACCCATGATAAATGTGTGCTTTAGGAGTTTCACCATTGATATATATGCGTAGTTATTTGAATAAGAATTAAAAAGTGATGATCCAGACAACAACACTTACATTCACCATTTTTTCATAGCTTACAGCAATCTCCATGGTATTATCACTATAGTCTAGAGTGTCTTTCCAGGCATGCAGTAGAAAAGCAAACCTCAGTTGACGTGCTGAATGTCTCTTCAGCGCATCTTGGATTGTGACAAAATTTTTCAACGATTTTGACATTTTGCAGCCGGCTATTTTTAAGTGACCTGAGTGGAGGAAGTAACGCACCCAATGATTGTTGTCATAATACGCCTGGAAAATTATCATAAGAAATCTATTAATTTTAGAGATGATTTCGACTCATATTTTTGAGAATTGCGCTGGAATTTCAAAAGTGGTGAGGAACAGTGGTTAAGGAACAAAACATGAAATAAAAAATGCATCTTAGGGTTAAATTGAAGGAGGGAGTACTCTTTTTGGCCAGTCATACAAATATGAGTACGATACAAACTGCTTAACAACTTTGTTGTAGAATTTGAGAATAACTTACAGGAATTTCTCTTCAGCCACTCAAAACAAAGTCAACATTAGTTTTAAAAATTAATTTAAAAAATGATAAATGGGCCTGTTGCAAACTTTTGCTAGAGCAAAAATAAGAATTGTTACTCATAGAGAGTGTCTCATAAATAAAGATGAATGCATCAGCAAAGTCTGAAATGCACTTCTTACTTCACAATTTACATAAGAAATTTGCGTTTTTTTGAGCTTCCTGGTTCAAAAACGATACCACGGCACCAGGTGAACAATTTATTAGAGGAGTCATTCCATCCAACCCCTGCTCACAAGGATACTATGCAATATTCAACATAGCTGATGCCAATCTGCCAAAACACATGTGACGGAACGATGATTCTAACCACCTGATAACAATCTGCGTGTTTACATTCACATTTTTCTTGCGTTAGTACACATCCGCCTTGATTGACCTCGTGCTCTCCTCAACTTACACGCGGAAGCGTCGGCCATGTTGAGCAGAGATCGAGTGGAACGACTCCTCTAACGAAATGTACACCAGTACTGTAGTATTCTTTTTGAAGCTGGAAGCTTAAAAATACGCAAATTTCTTATGCAGATAGTGAAGTTAGGAGTGCATGTCAGAGTTTGACGATGCTCTCATCGTGATTTTGGAGACATTATCTGTAAGGAACAACTCTTATTTTTGTTCTAGCAAAAGTTTGCAACAGGTCCATTCTACGTCCAAGTATAAAAAATAATCCCTTGGTTAATACTTTGACAACAGCTTAATATCAAACTAAAAGTGCTTGTTTTGCTCAAAAGTGCTTTTATCCCTTGTGTTATGTTAATGAAAAGGTACAAATTTTTAACTGATTTTTCTTCTTTTTCCAAACATGCAGTTTTGCTTCACTTTAAAGTCGGTAAGTTTTGTTACATCTGGAAGAATTTAATCATTATCATTTCCTGTGAAAAGAACTCAGAAAAAATTAAAATTTCATTTCATTGAAGAGAGATCATTGTTAGGATTACACTCATCTTTCCTTTCTCTTCTCCAAAAATGTTTGTTTTTCATTTTACATTGAGAAGATAGGCACAAATTTAGTTTACTTGACAAGTGCTCAACTTAGAGGTCTAGACATATTCAAATTATACTATTAAAGGGACTGAGATGTTTCATATTTGTGGCTACACGGCTCTTCTTGAAAACCTTTTAAATCAATTGAAAATCTTGCGTTGAATTCAGTCTCCCCTCCCCTCATCTAGGTTGAGCACTTTTCAAAACAAACAATTCAATAAAGGATAATAATTACGACCAAAAATGTACTTTCATGTTGCATGATGTAATTTGATTGAAATATTTGTTGCCTTGAGACCTTGTGAAATGCTACAAAAATTTTGAATTACCCATTTACCAGGTCAAATTTCTGTTGAATAAAAAATGAAGCTACAAACAAAAAAAAAAGATGAAAAGATTAACGATGAGGTAAATTACCTCTGCTTGAGCGAGTTCATTATCATGGTGAGGAAATTTCAAATCTACACCTCCTGTATGAATATCCATGGAATCCCCCAAAATTGCTGATGCCATAACGGAGCATTCAATGTGCCATCCAGGTCTGCCTTGACCCCATGGTGAGTCCCACCTTGGTTCTCCTGCTTTTGATGCTTTCCACAAAGCAAAATCATTCAACGAGTGCTTATCTTTCGTTTCACAGCTAAGATCACCTAAAAACAGTATTGAAAAAAAAAAATAAATAAAAAATAGAATTTTCTTTTTATAAGCAAAAGGAATTAAGTCCTTTAATGCGTGGCACATATCAATGGCCATAGTGCAAAATCATCCATCTCCTTTAGCGGCTTCCTGTCATAGTTTACTTTTTTTTGGGAAAACTAGGAGATGTAATTTCTTGAAATCTTCCTTTATTTTCCTTCTTTGTTAACAGAATATTCTGCATACATTTCAAGCTTTATAGTACACTGGTTTCTCTTTGAAAGAATAATATAGAGGTGGCAATTTTGAAACATTGCAACGGAGATAAAGGGTTTCACATTTTGGTCATCAATATTTAATCCGCAATCATGTTTTCTTTTTTCCTACGGAGCATTTAACAGAGCTCATTCCTCATTTATCTTCTTCTTCTCTTCTTCCAACATTCAAATACAGCAAGAAATAGTAAATGCACCCTCTTCAGGATTGAAAAAAAAAAAAGAATTGGCTCTTTTCAAGATCCACGGGATTGGCTTTCCTAACAAACTCTTATTTTCAGGGAGTTTCAAAAAATTCAAAAAGTAGTGAAATTAAGAGATATTTTAGTCCTCATCAAATGCACAACATATTTTCTATGGAACCAGGTTGACCAGTGGAATTTAGAAAATTTTTAACATTTTCTTAGGGTCCACAGAGTCTCCTAATTTTTAGGGGTAACTTTGAAATCAGATTTAGTTTGATGCAGAAAACAAGCTGGAATATTTTTTTTTCTTTCTTTTTTTGGAGACTTGACAATTTGTTATTCATTTATAGGTTCAGAGATCTTTGCGAGCAGATAAAAAACTACAAATTTGTCTTCAAAATTGCAAGATTTATGTGCACAAGTGCAGATTGTGATCATGATTCCAAAATTTTCTTAAGATATGAAAGAGCATGATCCTGTTTGAATTTTTTTTGTGTAGTGATGCTTGCCAATTTTTACGGAGGCAGGAGCAGGGAGGGCACTTCTCGGAAACATTGTTCTAGAACATAAGCTGCAAATTTAAATTTTAGAGAGGAAACTAACGCATCATTTTTCTGGATTTTTTGTTTAAAACATTGTAAAATTAGAGAATATTTAGTAAAAGTATCAACAAAATATATGCATTTGCTTTTCTTATATTGAAGGAAATGTTAGCAAAAATTCTGAGACACCGCAACTTAGAAGTGCCTTTCCTACTCCTTGCACTTAAATCATTCCGTTTTTACTGAGGTCACCCACAATCCGACATTTTAAAAATAAGATAGAAATGTGATGAGATACCCACCTTCACCCTCCTGTAAAGACTTGACATCACCATAAGCCTCAGGAACTAATTTTGCATAATGATGATTGGATTTAGAGTCGAATGCACCGACATCAAAGTAGACAGAGCCATTAGACTCATAGGCCAATCCATTATCAATAATTTTTTCAATGTACGCAATGATTTCAGGTACAAATTCACTGACCCGTGTGAGAACATCTGGTCTTAAAACCTGAAGACAAGGAAAGCAAAAATAAAAATTAAGTAACATTGATTGAATCTATTTAAGATGAGAGAGCAAAATAGTGTTTAAAATGAAAATGACTGGAAGGCAGTCCACAAGTTTTAGACACTTGCACACTGCTAAAACTGAAGAAATTTCATGATGCGTAGGAACTGTCCTAAAAGTAATTCAATAATTACTATTTTGAGAGAACAAACCAAGATAGTGACTTTTGGTTCCAAAAAGCCCTTTAACAACATTATGTATAACAATGGACTACTAGACAAGGTACAAATTTAAGCAATCTGCTACATGCTTCTTAACTAGAATTTCACGTAAAACACGATTGACACAACGAAAATTACTGAAACCAACTCTTATCGAGGATATTAACACTTTTTTCACACATTGGTTACGAGGAATTTGAACTGCCCGCTCACAAGAAACTCAAAGCTCTACGTGAGTCAAATCGCGCACTACAAAGGTTTCAGCAAGCTCCTCAATCGGGCAATGCTCATTTCCCACCATGTGTTGTTCAAACTATAAGCAATTTGCTGTAGCTGAGCCAAAGAGTCAAGATGGAAGTTGCCTGATTTTTTTATCGCAGAGACTGTCATGATAACTTGTAGCGCGCGATGTGAATAACGTAGAGCATTGAGTTTTCATGAGCAGATGGTTTGAATTCACACATTAAGAATCATTAAATATCTTCGTAAGGAGTTGATTTCGGTAATTTTCGTTGTGCGTATTGTGTTCTACGTGAAATTTTTGTAAAGGCAAATGTATCAGATGGCTGAAATTTGTACCTTGTCTAGTGGTCCATTATGATGAGACACAAGCTCATTAAGTGAAAACTTTTCTGAGATCCTGCATTTTAAAGATACATAATTTGTTGAGCAACTATTGTTAAGACTTCATGAGATTTTAACCGCAAAAAATGAAGGATTGTAAGTTAATTTTGTACGACTGGAGACAGTAAATCTAAACAGCGTAGAAACCAAGCAAAAAATGTGTCTTGTAGAATCAGGATACCATGGAATCTGCTAGAGTTTTTCATGAGTTTATTAGATGCAGCAGGCGAGTCGGTCAGACTTTTTAAAACTTTGATTTCGCTTACATTTTCTCAGTTTCAAAGTTTTAATCGTTAAATACGCTTGTTTGTAATACGCTGTCGGCCATATTGAGTAATTTTCCAAATGAATAGGTTGGCAGCGGCACTTTTCTGGTAATTTTCGTTTTTCACATCGTCGCCTTTTGGGCCCTAGGAGCTACATAAATCGAGTAGTCCATACTCTCCCTACAAAGGTACCATAAGGTATATAAGGCTACTCTATCTCTTCCTGTGATTAGAAATTTCCCAAAGCAAACCAGCCTACACTTCAAATTGAAATTTCAATTTGAAATAATTTTCTCTGAATGAAGTGCTTTTAAGTAACATAAAATACAGAATTACTAGGCCCATTCGGATCAACCACTAACGAAAAATTACCCAAAATGTGACTTTTCCTTTTCTGCTAAACGTGGCCCCCATACTTGTATTTTATGTTGGGAGATATTTACATTTAAGGAGTCCATGTCTTGGTGGAATTCAGCCTCCCAGTGCTTTGGTAGTTCTGAAAAAATAGAATTTTCAGTGACTTTGGCACCAAGTTCACCATCTAACCAGTCCGACAAAGGATCTTTCATCTCCTCCAGTAAAACCTAGGACAAATAGTTCAAAATCACAACATCTTCATGAAAATAATATACTTGAGGGTAAAATAAATTCAAATTGGGCACAAGTTTGACAGCAAAATTGATCTGTCCTGAACTAATGGATTGGTGTAAGCTATAGGGACATTGAAGGTTTGAGGTCTTTGCAGATGATTTAAACAATTTTCTTTGAAAATAATAAAAACACTTTTTTTTCTTTTAAGGACTTACAGAGAAATTTCAAACGATAATTCTTTTATGTGTATTTCCCTTATGTCATTGATGTGAAAAGGTTGTGAAAAAAATCGCTGCATTCATTAAACTGTGTATTTTCAAGAACACTTTTAAATTTTGCCAAGTCTAGTTTTGGGACAAAATGAAAACAAACATCTTTCAGTTATAGGCAGGTTATCCCAAAGACAAAGTCAAGAGGGGGAAGGAGGTAGCATTATTTAATTCGACCAATTTACATCACACTTCGATAGAGAAAAATGCTGTTTCAAAGCAAAGTTTGCCAATTGTCAGTAAATTTAACTACTGAACAGCAATTTTTTCTTATTAAATAAGGTAAGTTGGTAAGGTCCGAAGAGGTGTTGCGGTGTCAGTTGCCCGAGAACCTCTGGGTAGACAGGCATAATTGGCGTTTGGGTGTTGTAGAACGCCAGAGTGCGTTGTAAAGCGACTTCATATATATATATATATAAAAGTTGGTAAGGTCTGAGTACCTACATAGCGAGAGTATGACAGATCGCTTCATGGAAGGCTTAGGGCCCAAAGGTGCAGCCACCCTTCTAACCAACTTCTAACGCACAAAATTTCACTGCCAGTCTGCAGATTCCAATACAAACCAAGATAGCCAAGAATGTACAGAAATGAGCGTTCTTCCGCAAAATTGAGTAAATTTATGCAAAAACTGAGTCAAACACGTGCTTAATAAACGACGGTTCGTGACAATAGTATTAGTAAATCGCTCTGGATACTTGAAATTCATAGGTTGGCTGCATTTCTGGGCCCTAACTTCATTCACAGAAGCATCGGTGGAGGCCTGATGTATTTTCGGAGTTTCACATCTGTCCATACTCTCGCTATACCGGTACTCTAGTAAGGTCTATGCTTGAAGATTGAACAAAAGCATACGTTGGAAGTAGGGATAAGGAAAAGGAAATAAGGGGATGTGAACTCCTGGTTAGAAGTGTTACAGGTGAAAAACGAGAATGCTCATTAGTCTTAATAGGTTTTCACTTCAAATCAAGGTCTGTGCTTGCCCATGTTCATACTTACATTCATGTGAAAGGCAGGAAAATCTGTGTTGTACTTTCTCCATTAGGAAATGCTCACTTTATCAGGAGTGGAGAAAAGGAATAAAACTTTATCAGTCGGTTGTACCAAGTAGGGCGTTCCTCTTCCAGAATAATTTGACATTTGATATATCGACGGTATAAATCAGCAATCACATAACTCAGTTTGCCATGTCACAGACTTCCTGTCATACTTTACTTTTTAAACAGAAAACTACTCAATGGCAATTCTTTAAACCTGCCATGATTTTTCTTTTCTGTGGGAAGGAAATTCTGCATTAACTTCAAGGAATAATGCCAATTTGTTCTCCTGTAAAAAAGTAACACGGAGGTGGAGATTTGCAAACACTGCAAACGAGTTATGTAATTGCCGACTTACACCATCGATACGTGATGTGCAGATTATTCACAACAATTCACTAGTATTGTGAATCTTCATGCATGCTTAGACAAAAAATTGCAAAAAATCTTATTTAAAACATTTCCCCCTTTCCACATTCAGAGAGCCGTCCAGCATTATCCTCACATCCAGAAATTATCTCAAAATTGTGTAAAAGAGTGACTAATCTCATTATGCGTGATTCAAACTACTGGGTGAATTAAAAGCTTAAAGACGAATGCAAAGTTACCTTTTGATATTTGAGAGTATTTTCTGCATCATTTGCTTCAACAACTTTTTCCAAAGAATCCACTGCTGCAGTAATTTTGCCAACCATCCTATCAAGCATTGCTCGCTTATCGTCATCCTGCGTTACTTTCACTTTTGCTGAGACATCAGCTAATACATTCTTTGCATGAAGAAGCGTTGTGCTTAGATCATGATTTTTTTCTAAATACTGTTGGTAAAGATAATTTTGGCGGGCTCGTTTAATAATCTTATCATCTATATCTGTTATGTTCATGACATACGATATTTCATAGCCAAAATAATCTGCCAGAATTCTTCGTAGAATATCAAAAGTTACATAGGATCTGAAATATGCAAACTGATTATTCACAAGCAGGAAAAAACAAAAAAAGTAAAAAATTCTACACTTCAGTTGAAACCGGATTATGATTAATCTTGGGTCAAGCAAAGTTTGCCGAGCGGTTATTTTTCTATCAATCAGATAAAATTTGTAAAGATATTAAAACACACCTGATTTTTTTACTTTCAGCCAAAATTTTTTAAATTTAAACTTGTCAAAAAAATTAAAAAATTAGTGCCCTTTTCTGTTTTTCTCTTCATTTTGCTAAAAAAAACACCATTACTGTAAGAAAACTTTCTCATAAGCTCATGGATTTTGAAATGCCAGCCTTAAACCCCCAGCTGCCCTACGCACATGCTTAGGCATGCGCTGCACATTGGCAAACTCCATTTTCTCATATTCCTGTAAAAAATTGCATTGAGTCAATTTTGCAACCTTGGAATGGAGTAACATTCCTAGGTCTGGGAAATGACAAATTGGAAAAAGAACTTCAAGTTGCTGTTGTTACCTGGCGTGACCCATATGAGAGGCATCATAAACAGTTGGACCACAACTGTACCATTTTATATGATTACTCGTTTGAGGGACAAACACTTCTTTCTGCCTTGTAAGGCTGTTAAAGAGTTTCAAAACAGGTTTATTGGAGCAAGTAGGAGGCTCCCATGCTGGCTGTGATCTTTTTGACATATTCAAGCTACTTAATTCACCTATAACACCTGAAATAAAAAGCAGAAAAAATAAGAAAGGAAAAATAAACAAGTTCCGAGGGTGGAATGGACTATTAAAGGTAGAAATAAAGGCTGCATCCCTCTTAAAAAAGATCTTAAAAACTCCTATTGAAATTCCAAAAGTGTATGTGCCTACTTCATACAAAAACACAGACCACAAGTAATCGGTCTCTTACACTGCAATATTCTGTTCTCATTTATCTTGTACATTCTTGTCATGATGCACAGACAAATGGCTCATAGTGCAAAGAAAGAGGAGCTCCTGTATTACACATCCTACTACTATTTGTAATGAGTCACAGAGTAATTAGAGTAATTGCTGACCACTGCTCATTCACGAAGGTGAGTACCACCTTTACGGAGTATAGAAATAGCAAACAAGGCATTGAAGGTCTTCATTTAAAATTCACTGTGAAATTATAATGTGTGTGAGTAGGTATCACATGAACTTGCAAGATACGAAAATCTACCTAAGCGAGTGGATACTTTACCCATTTGTTGGAAAATTGATCCATAGACTTTAAAAGAGTGGTAAACACTTCTTTACAATACTGAATGCCTGTCTCTAGCTGATTTACACTGGTAAGCGAGTTAATTTGCGCTTGTAGTTTTCGTCAAACTCTTCCTTCTCAATCGACATATTACTAGGCTACGATTAAGCCACTGAGACTAAGAAGTTTCAGCCAGCTGATAGGGGAATGTTCTACAGAAATAGTTAGACATAGCGATGACGCTATGAAAATGAGTATTGACACAAATGTCTCTAGTTGCTGAGCAAGACCTTCTTAATTCGTTAAAGATAAATTCAAGATCCAAGTTAAGGCATACTCCTGTAAATGTGAGGCTGTAGGAAAAATGTTGGGCAATGCACGGTATTAAGATGAGGGATTCAAGGATAAGTCAAAGTACATACTGGAAGTTGTGCTCATTTTAGGGACAACCATATGAGCTAGTTAAATGATGCAAGATTGGAGAGAACTTACTCAAAAAATGAAGTTGACTAGAGCCTGAGACGCAAGAGCTAGATTTGAATGTTCGATGCGAATTACGTGGAGTTGATGGTCTTCGCAATATTTGGATCGCAGACACAATTTAATCGACGTAAGTGCATAAAGTAACCTAAATTTGCTTACGGAAAACACGTATGCGAGAAAACGTGTGTTTACATTTTTTTGTTATCAGTTATCACATTCACTATTCCATTCCCAGAAATTTCCAACGTTCCGGATTATTCGTTTTGGAAAATGACAGTGAAATTCAGATAGAAACTGATTTCAGCTGCATTCTCACGGCAAATAAAGTAAAAACTTATTTCATAAATTTTTTTAATTTTTAGTGTGAGTGAGCAAGTGAGCTACCGAGTGTAATGGTTTTAGTAGGTGAGATAGAGTTTTTTAGAAATTGCGTTTCCGAAAAGGGAACGTCTCTCACAGTCTAGTCCGTAATAGGAACGTGTGAAGTGATAAGAGCACCGCAATGTTGTCGCTTCAGAATTATAATTAGATTAATATTCAATACAAAAGTAATTGGCTCGGGTGGTATCGCCGGCAAATGTTTTACCAAAAGCGTTTAAAGAGTATGTAAAAAATTAAAAATTCATTAAGGAAGAGGCTCATATTCTCTCTGTTGCCAATTTGCCATACATGTTTCGTAGAATTCGCAAGGTAAATATTTGGCAACAGCGTTGATTGAAAAATGCTTCCTGGAAGCGAATAAGATGTGTTTTTCTCAGTTTCTCGCGTTTCTCGTATCGTAATTGACATGGTGCCCTCATTTTATCCGCTTCTGGAGGTGTGCGCTGAAAACCTTGAAAAAAGGTTTTGAAGTTTCGGAATTTGCGGATTAATTCGAGTAGCGTGGTACTCTATGAGTGCCGTGCAAAATATCGGGAGGAAACGTGTCCACATTGTGTTTACTCTTTTCCTTCTTCTGCTGCACACTTAGTCACTTAACCCTACAATGGTCTCGTGAAGAATAATTCCTCGCGGATGTGATTGTTTTTGTGCATCTCATGGTCAATGGTTTTGAATTATTGTAGCAATAAAGTTACTTTTGTGATTTTTAACTCTTGGAATCTCTATTCACAGCTAGTCAATCGGTACTTAGTCAAAGAGTTCAAATGTGTTAATTTCAACAACACCTTTTCAGGTTATGGTGTGAGAATGTCTTCGAAAAAAGTTTTTGGACACAGGAAATTCTACGCTTTGCCAGAGGAATACGCTTCCAAACATGTGAATTTTAAACCAGGTTCTTTGTCAAAGAAAGAAGATCCATCAAAGTTAGTGAAATATATTGATGAAAATGTCATTGGAAACAATATTACTTTCCTTGGACCTTTTGGCCGTCGTAGAGGTAAGCAGCTCCTCGATTTTTATACACTTTTTCCTCATCATTTAGTTCTCAACTACTTTCGTCAATATTTATGTAATTTGTAATGGTTGTCAGTATTATTTTGTTTACTGAAGGCTGCAACTCCAGGTACCCATGAAGGTTTCTTTTTTAGGTATCCGCATCCTTACAGAGCAGGGTGAGCCTGTCGTTGAAAAGGCTGCCCGTCCGGCAACGGCAAAAAATAACATTGCCACAATGTTGCTGCAACGTTGCCGCAACATTATTTTTGGCAGTTACATTGTAACAACATTTCCGCATCTACTTCAGGCAACCACTTGCCGGGCGGGTGATCCATTGATATCTAGTAGAATCATGACCACTCACATGACGCCTTGCATGAAAAGACGGGTGGACAATCTGCATTGCTTGCAGCACTTGAACATTTGTTAAATCTGTGACAACCATATGTGAGTTCAGGGGTGCACAATATACTAGATCACGCGATAAATTATCGCGTGAAATTGTGGAAGGCCTTCCTGATTTTCGGAAGCGCAATCACGCGATAAATTATCGCGTGAAAATGTGGAAGCGTCCCAAATTTTGTGGAAATTTTTTTTTCTTTCTTTCTTTCTTTCTTTTCGTTTCTTTTCTCGCTCTTCACTTTGAATCTCATATTTTTTACCGAAACATTGTGGAAGGGTTTTCACGATCTTCACCAAAATCTTCGGGAACAGTTTCCCTATTTTTTACTAAATTATTGTGGAAGGGTTTCCACAATTTTTACCGAAATATTGTGGATGGGTTTCCACAATTTGGATCAATCAATGGCCCTATACTCTCGCCTCGCGTCATTCATTGATACTTGACAGCACTCTCCCTATCAAGGTACTCAGCAATTTGGGTGCTACAGCTGATAAGTCCCGATCTTCTCTGATGAAGTGAGAAACGCAGAAGCGCCTTTAATTTTTGAATATCCAACACGCACATCCGTGGAACACGAATAGTTGTATCACAGCGCTACACTCAACGCACAACAGTGCCGTCATTGTATGTTCAGCGGGAGCGCCTTGAATTTTTGAATGTGCAAACATTTAAAGAAACTCGTATATTTGTATCAAAAACTCCCGAGAGAAATTAGGTGGGGGGGGATATTTATAGAACCTGTGTTATATTTATTATTTTGTTTTGATAGTTTTGTGTCTCGTGTAAAATCTCGCAAAATATCGTCAGAAATCGGTCATTGGGAGACATTTCGCCCTTTCTCTCACGAAAGAACGTAACCCCATTTTAATGTCGCTGTATTTCCACTACTCAAATTGCACTATGACCAGGAGAATTCCGAAAATTTCTAATCGATAATTCCACTGATTCTGTCTCTGATCTCATGCAAAAATTAGACTTTTCTACGAAAATCGCGTAGGCACATTCTTGTATAAAATTGAATTGATCGAGTCGATTTGGAAACATTGGAACAGAGTTACGTCCCTTCATCTGGGATACGAAGATTTGTCGGTCACTCAGTGCATGGATTCCACATGAAATCAATGACCGGTCCTTAGGCGTAATTTTCAGATATTTGACCGACCAGCTTGCGGACTGCTAGCCCAGTTCACGGACTGGGTAAACGCATCAGCCGGTTCATGGGTTGAGCAATACGGGGNGGGGGGGGGGGGGGTTGGCTAGTCGGTGCACAGTGGATCGAGTCAATAGGAGAGGTCGGACCTAATTTGGAAACTTTAAAAGCTTACAACTCAGATTAATCAAAACTTTAAGATTTTAAAAATGGCTCCGTTCATTTTCCCGTGAAATTTTCTTTTTGGAGCATCCCTCAAAATTTAAGATGTGACGAATCAGACATCGGAATTTACAGTTTTAGTCAAAAAAAATTTCAGGTCCGCGACCTCTCTGATTGACTAGATCCACTAAGCGGCGGGGCGGACGGGGTAAAAAAGTTGCCCATTCCTGGACAGAAACACAAGCAATAAAGTTAAAAGCACTCGTTAACTGAAATTCAACCAACGTCTTGGCGGGAAAAATGTAAAAAGCGCCGAATGTCAATATTGACGAATATTTAAATACTTACGCTTTGTGGGCCCACTCGTGAGCTGTCTCTCTAGACAGAAAAATCTTTTCTGAGAAAAAGAGTCATTTGAGAGGATTTGAAAAGTTTCCATGTATTATCATGGATCCAGGGAATTTTCCAATTTTTAATGGCGTTTTGAAATGAATTTCTGGATTGAAGAGAACACTTCTGTCGAGGAAAAAAAAAACTAGGTAGGCGCGAAATATTCAGAAAATGAAATCCTAATGAGCAGGTCGAAAAATCTCAAAATCTATTGATGCAAGGCTCCGGATCGCAAATCTCATACATAAATCGCGATAGCGAAATATTTTCACATCATCGCGGACCTAAATCGTTGTTGTGATATTTCCTTTCGCACTGTCGTGCTCCTGAAAGCAAATCTTAGCATCCCGAATGATTCGGGAAGAAAATTTTTCTGCAACGCCCTCTCGAATAATTAAAAATGTAATGTATGGTGCAATGCAAAGCAACCCACTGCCCAGACTGAGGGGATGATCAGTGGTCATGATTCAAGAAGCTATTAAGCAGTGAAGCGAAAACATTTCTCCTTTGCTTTGCTTGTGTGTCGCAGAATACGCCTCAAGTTTAGCACGCCCGTCAGAGTCAAGAGAGCCATCTTAACCATGTAAGCGGATTATACTCTAATCGTTGAGTAGTGAGCTCCTTGCCCAGTTGTGCTTTTAGGAAGTCCTGTACCAACTGTCATTGTGTAATACGATTAATTTGTGAAAGTCGCAAAACACCTATTTTAATTTGCCGCCTTTGATTTCAAGAGAAAAAAACCGGCGCTCCGCTACGGTTTTTGGGGGGTCCGCCTCCCCCCGAAAAGCGTGTTTTTTCAGGGTTTTTATGCGTATTTAGTTGTTTCTTCCTCTTAGTGTATCGCGCATCCACCGTTGGAAGCAAGCGTATTTCCCGAAGTGGAAGTTGTATTCATAGTGTATTTTCTTCGTAAAATACACTAAAAACCGTCTAACAATATTCGCATAGGCGGTTCTACGGGGGTGCCAGTGGGTGCCGGGCACCCCCAAGCAAAAATTAAGTGCGGTTACCGGAACCGTGAAAGAGGCCTTCTTCTTCCTTCACCTCTATTTATTGCTTTTTTAACCAGAATAGAATTTAATATAAAAAGGACCAAATTATACTGCTTTTAAAGATTCTGTATTCGCTCACACATGAGTAAAAATCCCAGCAATTAATTGAAAATATTTTAAACAGAATTAATATTGATAGCCGTGTTTTACAAAGATTCTACTGTTTTTTTATGGTAAGATTGTAGTTTTGATGGAAAATTTTGCTAAAAATTTTCTACATTGAATTTATAGGTATTTAAGTAGAAACGAAGGAGAGAAAGAGAGAAAGGATGGGAGGAAAGGGATAAAACTTGAGGGCCGAAACTTAGGCCTCCCCTTAGCGACCTTCCCCTTCGGAACCGGTCTCCGATATTTTTCGCCTCTGGGCACCCCCAAACATGAAAGTCTAGAACCGCCTATGCTCGTCGGAAGTTTTGCTATCAATTAAGGCTCAGGTTTCATCGGTAAATAGGTGAAAATATAACGGAAATTTAGCCGAGAACAAGGAAAAGAGAAATAGAATGGAAATTATTAGATGAGAAAAGGAAAGAAATTGTAGTAGAATACGTAGCAGTAAAAAGGCAAGGACGTTTTGTTTCTTATTTTTTTTTTTTTTTTTTTTAAA